TATAAAATTAAATGATTGCGCGATCAGACTACCGAGCGAGGACGACAAATGACTGAGTTTTGATAATCACTGGAGGAACGCGTCCCGTTATGCCGACCTGGAGCATTAGAGAAAACAGATGGGAATCCTGAATCGATTACTTACACGTATCATTATCATAAAGTATTTAGTATTGGATATTACGTGCACTATTCGCAGGATACCTCACTGTCGGGCTATCATTTTCGCCGTGATAAGGACTGTATAGCGCGATATGTGAAAAAACTCAGAAATTTGGCGCATAGTGTACAGTCTATAATTTCAGCTAATGTACCAGTGACGGATTTCACGCGAGATGATTGACAAAAATTTAACAACGCCACGTGTGCGAGAAACTGTTTGCACCAGATAATACGCGGGTACGCGATCACTGTCACTTAACTGGGCAATACAGAGGCCCCGCGCACTTAAATTGTAATCTAAATTATAGGGAATCGCATTGCATAACCGTAGTTTTTCATAACTTATCGCGCATTTCGTCATCAAGGAAATTGCTACTACGTACGAAAGATTTTTTACCGATAACTAAAAAAAAATATATCTCGTTTACTAAACATATCGATAGTACCAAAATTGATAAAAAAAAAATTGTGTAAAATTACAGTTTATAGAAAATACCGAAAATTGTCGATCGCGCACACGCTCCGTTCGCTGCCTAATCTCGATCGGTACGGATCATTAGCGAATATTCAGTGCGAATAAAACGAAGTGTCGCGTATTACTGGTGTCGTGTATTATACTCCGTAGCATTCCGAGATACGCGTCTCGCGAGGACCGTCAGTGCGAGAAAGAATTTGCGGTGAGATTCGTCGATCGCGTTGTTGTAATACTAATTCTTATAACGACAACGAAAAGTTATTCATCGTAGTACTAAGCACGCATCGAATAGAACGCATTAAATTTTGAATTCCGAGCATTGCCTATTGTCCGCTTCGGAAGCAATTTAATTCCGACTCAAGAATAAAGCAAATTGTTAAAACAAAAAGAATCGACATCATTACAGCCGCCTTGGCAAGCGAGTCTTTCAATACAAAGTGACACCAGTGACCCGTCACAAAACATGTTTTGGTCCTTCGAACCGGATCGTTGCTAAGGAAAGTTATGTTTCTTTGTTTGATTCTCAATTTTGCTGAGACGTGCCTTTTCAGTTGCAAACAATGTCGTCTCTCAACGAATTGATGCATGCAAAACCAGCAGATGAGCGTCATATCTCGCACACTCTCGAATTTCAAGAAGCTCGGGCAGGCCAAGATGACACGTGATGTGGGAGGGTATCGAGGCGACAACGCCTCACAACCCTCAAGGAGACCTTTGCCAGATGCCAAAAGCTGGAAAATCACGCTAGCTGCGGACTAGAAGTCGAAGGCAACCAATGCGTACTTCACTCAGAACTACTTCCTGACGTATAAGGACTACTACCACGAAGCTGCCGACTATATGGCTAAAGTATTAGACTGTCACGGGGTCCGCGAACCCCGTCTTGGGCTGTACATGAAGTAAATGGTCTCAATAATTCTTTTCATCGTCGCATCTTCCGAGGTCGCATCAACCTGCCGACCTTCGACGAGAGTTTCGATAAGTGGGAAAGCTTTCGCGATAAATTCAAATCGATGATCCATGAGAATCAAAGCCTAACGAATGTCGAGCGCATGCACTATTTGTGTTCCTGTGTAAAAGGGGATGCAAGTAACGCCTTAGATCATCTCGTGGTAACCAATGATAATTTTGTTATCGCGTGGAATATTGTCGTTTCTCGGTAATGATAATAAACGTCGCCTTATTACGATACATTTACAATCGCTTTTCAATTTACCGTCGCTCACGACAGAAACCTCCAACAACCTCCGCATGCTTCGCGATCAAACCAACAAAGCGATACAAGCTCTGAGCAATCTCGGTTGCGCGACTGAACATTGGGATGATTGGCTTATTTTTCTAGTATCACAAAAACTTGATAAATCATTGCGAAAAGCTTGGGAATTTAAACTCAGCGATACAGTAGATTACTCGCGTTATCGCGAACTTGATCAATGATTTCAATAATTTCTTGCATCGCGCATTCGCGCGTTCGACGCGATTGCACCCGCGAACGCCACGGAAAAATCACAGACGACTTCTAAAAAGAAAACTCTGGTGTTACATATCGCGTCTTCCGTTTTCATGCTCATTGTACAAAGCGAACCATCTTTTGTATCAATGTTCTAAGTTCCTAAAGCAAACTCCATCCCAACGTTTTAAATTCATAAAAAACCAGAAACGCTGTGTAAACTGTTTCAGTACGAAGCATTCCGTGAAAGATTATACAAATCCTCGCGCGTATCGACAGTGTAGTAAACGGCATCACACGTTATTGCATTTCGATCATTCTATTCAGCCTGTCGACGCTAAGTTGACGTCCGCACCAATGAGTAGCAAAAGTGTCACCGCCGTCGCTACGCATTTCTTGTCGACAATTGTAGCACCGAGCTCCAAAATCTTGCGCGCGTGCAAGTTTACTCGCCTCATAACCGTTTTATCACTGTTCGCGCGCTCCTCGATCAGGGATCCGTCTCTACGTTTATCTCCGAATCGTTTACTCAACGCTTACGCCTTGCAAGAATTAATCGCTCCGTTTGCATTACCGGCATTAGCGAAATGTAATCCGTCGTGCGTCACGCTGCCCAAATTACGATTACCCTGGCGTCGCGACGGACCTGCCTATACTCGTACTACGACCGTGTTTATACACTAATGAAATATTTACCGGATCAAGTCAATACTGCGTATAAGTGGAAACACGTCGCAGGGCTCGAACTTGCCGATCGTGACCTCATGAGTTCGGATCCGATCGACATTATAATCGGTGCCGATCTATTCGGCACGCTCGTTCTCGATGGTGTTTGAAAAGGTTCCGAACATGAACCTATCGCGCAAAATACTACTCTCGGCTGGATTCTATCTGGACCAATAGCTTCGTTTCCGACTTCTGAGTCCATTTCCGCGCTTGCGCATCACGGAATCATTATTAGAATCATTATAAGACTCTCGATTGCAATCTTCTTCGCTTTTGGGAAATCGAAGAAGTACCTCAGGAAGCTCCTCGGAGCCCTGAGGAACACCAGTGCAAAAAGCACTTCAAAGCCACACATTCCCGTATGCCGGAAGGACGTTATATTGTTCGACTAACATTTAAAAACGGACCACCTGTCTCAATAGACGAATCGCACTCTATCGCCATTTCGAGCTTTCGCCGCTTGGAACAACGCTTAATTCGCGACCCAATTAACATTTCCGAATATCGCAAATTTCTCGCAAATTAAACCCACGATCATATAATCAAAAGTCTACTGACGGAAATCGTCAAAGCGCAAAACTATTACATTCCGCATCATGCTGTCTTAAGTGATAGCAATGCAACCACCCGCTTACGAGTGGTCTTCAATGCTTCATGCCGCACTTCAAACGGAACGTCGTTGATCATATGCCCTAAACTCCAAAAGAATTTAGCCACTGTCATAATGCAGTAGCGCCAATACCGTTACGTATTCACCGCCGATGTCGCTAAAATGTATCGGCAAATCCTCGAGTCCAGGGACACCGACTATCAGCGCATTGTGTAGCAACTTACCCCTGACGAACCAATCACGGATTACCGTCTCCTTACCGTTACCTACAGCCGCCGCTTTCTATTTAGCCCTTTGAGTCCTAGATCAACTTGTAGACGATGAAGGTGCTGCATTTCCGTTTGCGGTTCCCGTTTTACGTCATCAGACATATGTCGATATTACGCTTTCGGCGCAGACGATCAAATTCTTGCTCGACAAACACGCAATCAATTGAGAGAGTTATTAAAGAAAGGAGGCTTTCATCTTCGAAAATGGGCAAGCAATGCCACCTCTGTTGTCTGATTTTGATCCCGCGGATCATGGTTTAGCCACTCATAAAGTTCTTCAAAACGATGAGCACCTTAAAGTCTTAGGAATACTGTGGAATCTTAAGCTAGATATTTTCAATTCCGCGTGATCGTACCGTCATCACCCGCAAGAACCAAATGAGCCATTCTGTCGATCATTGCCAAGTTTTTTGATCCTCTAGGATCTTCTCCCGTCAGTATTACCGCTAAAATTTTTTGCAGTGACTGTGGTCACTCCAATGTTGATGGGATGACGATATTCCCAGCCAACTTCTGGATTGCTGGTTTAATTACCATCAACGATTTTCGTGTCTCAACGCGATTAGCATTCCGCGCTGGACTACTTACGGATCTCATACTCTACACTGCGCTCTTCATGGGTTTTCCGACGCCTCGACTGCAGCTTTCGCTGTGGTATATCTTAGTGCCATCAATGTAGACGGCTCAACCATCGTCTCCCTTCTCACCGCCAATTCAAAAGTGGCCGCTCTTAAAACGATCAGCGTCCCGTGATTGAAGTTATCCGTTGCATTGCTTTTCGTACGCTTGATGCATTTTGCGCGCTCAGCGCTCCAATTCCTTAACCTCGAGTATCATTGCTGGACGGACTCGCCTGGCTGAATCAATCACCTTCCCGATGGAAAATTTTTGTCTCCAATCGTGTTTCGGCTGTCCAATCACTCCTCCCTGGAGTTTCTTGGCGTCATGTACCGACGCATACCAATCCCGCAGACTGCACTTCACGCGGTCTCGTTCTCGATCTTTTCAAGACACACGCTTTATGGTGGTCAAGCCCTCCATGGCTACATCATCCTCCCGAATCCTGGCTGAACTCGTGTCCTTCAGTACCCTCCAACATTCATCTAAAACAACGCCCAGAGCCTCTGATACGTACCTTGCACTTTCCAGTGGGATCTTGCGTCGCGTTACTCTTTGTGACCAAAATTTCTACGAATTACCGCGTACCTGTATCGTTTTCTAAGTCCGACGCTCAAAAAACTCGCAAACGAACATCGCATTTTTGCTCCCCGAAGAAATTCAAAATGCAAAATGCTACTGGCTCAAAACCATGCAGTCAGACATGTTTCCTAATGAGATCGCGGCTCTAAAACAAAAGCGTCTGGTAACGAAAAACTGTCCGCTCTCCGTTCTCAATCCTTATATGAACGAGGATAAACTTATTCGTATTCGAAGAAGACTTCGTCGAGCTTGTCTCCCTGAAGCGATGAAGAATTCTGTCGTCTTACGCGCACACGCGCTGTTGGAACTTATTATCCAGCACCATCATCTTACAACGTTGCATGCCGGTTCTCAATTAACGCTCGCGTCATTGCGTCACGAAGCCTGGATTCTCCGCGCCACCGTTCTTTACAAGTGCATACCATGCACGCGTGATCGCGCCGACGTACCCGTCGAACTCATGGGTGACCTCCCGGCTGCGAGAATCAACCGTACCGCTCGCGCCTTTGTCTATACCGGCGTCGATTACGCAGGTCCGATCGCTGTCCACACGACTCCCAGTCAAGGGAATAAATCACAAAAGGCTTATATTGCTTTATTTGTCTGCCTCACGACCAAAGCTCTGCATTTGGAGCTCATCAGCGATTACACCTCTACTACTTTTATAGTAGCGTATCAACGACTTATTTTGCGCCGAGGACTATCGACGTCCATGTATTCCGATAACGGAACCACGTTTCACGGCGCCGATCGCGAACTGTCAAACGCACATGCAAAAGCCATTCGAAATCCTAACTTCCGCAACCGACTCACAATCGACGGAACTGCGTGACACTTCCTACCCCCTTCGTCGCCGCAGTTCGGTGGCCTGTGGCAAGCCAGTGTTAAAAGTGTCAAGCATCATTTAAAACAATGCATCGGCCTCCACACGCTAACCTTTGAGGAAAGTCTACGCTGCTTTGTCGAATCGAGGCGTACCTTGATTCGCGTCCGATCGCTCTCATTTCCGATAATCTCGAAGATTATCACGCGCTATTTACCCCCCGGTCATTTTTTGGTCTGAACGCTTATCGCTCCCGCAGAATCAAGAGTACTTAACTTAAACAAAAACCGACTTTTGCGTTGGCAAATGGTTCAACACATAAGGTTTATGGAGGGCTTGGTCCGGTGATTATTTGCATACCCTTCAACAACGCCCAAAGTGGCGCATTGTTCAGCGACTGGCTAAAGTAGGCCAAATCGTCCTCGTGCGTAATCCTCTGGCTCCACTGAGCCAATGGGAACTTGGCCGAATTACGGCGTGTCATCCCGGCGATGACAATTTAACTCGCGTCGTCATTGTAAAAACAGAGCGTTCCGAGTATAAGCGACCAATTGCAAAACTTTGTTTCTATTCAGGATCAATTCCGAAGAGTCTAAGATTCTATCATGGAGGGCGGATTTTCGGTAAACGTTCCTGATGTTACTTATATCGCAAAACCTTAATTTTTAACTGTATTGCGTCGCGATCTTTGTATTAGGAGTATAAATAAGTTTCCGCCGTTTATTATCAAAAATTGGGCATTTATTCTGAAAGAACGGTACCTAATGTTTTATTTGAAGTATTGTCCATCGCTAGCCACTATTTTTTCCCATCTTTCTGGCAGCATACGGATACCGCGTCGGAAAAACGCTTCATCTTTTGAAGCTATCCACGAATTGACCCAATTTTTGGTATCTTCATATGATGTGAAGTGTTGCTCAGA